TAGTGGACAGATAGGGGCTGTTGTGGTTGAGGTAGGGACTATAGTAGGATGGTTAGGGGCTATAGTGGAGGGTTTGTAATTGGGGAAAAGGAAATCTAGTGATGGGATAGGGGCTGCAGTAGGGGTGTTAGGGGCTGTATTGGGGAAAGAGGCTGTAGTGTGGGGTATATGGGCTGCAACTAGGAGAGAGAGGTGGTAGTAAGGAGGATAGGGACTTTAGTGGGGGTAGGGACTGTGGTAGGGGAAAAGGGGATGTCATGGGTGGGAGGGGTGTAAAAGGGGGGATAGTGGCTGTAGTGTGGGTATAGGGGCTGTAATGGGTTAAAAAGGGGGGTTAAGAGCTGTAGTAGAGGTTCTAGCAGGATGTAGGGACTTCAGTTGGGGGTTATGGGCTGTAGTAGAAGGCTTAGGGGCTGTAGTGGGGCATAATGGCTACAATTGGGGGATAGGTACGGAAGAAAAACCACTAGTTTATTCCCCCCTCCCTGAGACTTACCTTGGGCCACAAAGGGGGAAATCCTGATTCCCCATGGTCCCAGGAGCTGAGTGTGATAAACTGAGTCTAATATAAGAGGCAGATTCTAATGTGACGGATCCTAATGCAAGGGGCTAGCGCCACAATGCACCTCTATCTGCAGAGCACAAGAACACAATCAGTGTTATTCAAGGAGACTTTAAGTGACTAAAAAGAGACAGAAAGTGTAACCGCGGCTGGTTCCCTTATTTACCACTATAATTTCTTAAAGCATAGAATTTAGTAGGGCTAACCATACAGATATCTTAGCCATAATTTGATATAGGAAGAAACAGCACTGGTTAGGAATGGAACAAATCCATCCGCCAGGTTGTGATGGTTGAGAGATACAATGGGGCCTAACCCCTAGAAGTACAAAGAGAATAGGACTAATGGGTTGCAGATTATAAACAATCTGCCTCCCAAAAAGACTTTGTATCCTTATATGAAAAAAGCTACTCTGCAATTATAAATATAAAAGTGGAACGCAGAGAGCAAAAATTATCTCTTCAATATTTGATATAGTTAGTGTAAGAGATCCTCTATTTAACATATATAAATAATTGAGAAAACAATATAAAATAAGGATTGTCTTGGAAGCAATAGTTTTGTCTTTTAGATATTTATTATATAAAAATATAAATATAAAATCCATTATAGCAGAGTTTATAAGATTAAACTCAATGCAACTATCATTAATAGGTTAACATACCCTTCTGAACATGTCATCATGTCAGCCTCTCTGTCATTTTAAGATGGAGCAGCGTCTTGTCTCCAAGTCTCTCCTCTGTCTTTTAACATTTTAAAAGTACACCTATTTATACCTTAGGTGTCTTCATTTTAGGGTTACCGTAGTTCATATATGAAAAAGTAACACTTCTTTTACTTTTTTCATTTTAGGACCTCCCTTAATTTGGCAAATATACAAGGCCATAACTAAAGGGTGCATACGTCATGGAAATTTTCCTGACTTAGTTCAAGATGGCATCTTAAAGTCTGAATAGCTTATCTGTTGTTTATACTAAGACGTAAGTGCACAGTCGTGGGAGATTCCCGGGTTTGGGGAAGTTCCATTAACTTGGGGTTACCACAGTATATTGTGTATTGAAAGAGTCGTAGTATAGCCTTGAAGCTTGTTTATGTATTATTGTTATTGTAATTCGTCTGGGACAAAATGGCGCAAACATATTATGCGCTGAGCTTATTGCTTAAAGAAACATCTATGAAAAACAATATGTTCAATTTCTAACACCTTGTCAATTTGCAATTATTCTTAAAGACAAAGTACACAGTTTAAGAAATACAACATTTCATTCTAAAACTTGTAATATTTGCATTTGCCCATAACAAAAGGGGCTGAGAGGGAGACACCAGATGGGCTAGAGGGACACAAAGAGACACAGAGGGGCTCTGGAATGGGCAAAAGAGACCAACATGGGTTCAAGTGACAGACATGGGCTGAGGAGGGATACCCAGAGTGGCTGGTCAACACAAAGAGACACAGAGGGGCTGGGGGGAGAAAGAGTCATACGGAGGTGCAAAATAGACAGACTGTGGCTGGGGGAAGACACCCTGACACAAAGACACATAGAGGGGCTGGGTAAGGGTCAAAAGAGGCAGACGGGGTCTAGGGAAGGGGCAAAAGAGACAGAAAGGGGCTGGGGAGAGACACCCAGGGGGAGAGGGGGAGTAAGAGACAAGATGCTAGGAGAAATAAACACACACAGTTGTGCTTGGGGGAGAAAGAGACATAGAGGGATGAAGAAGAGGAGACAGATACACAAAAGTAACTGGGAGGAAATTAGCATACATAAAGGTTGGGGAAGAGGAGAAAGAAACACATAAAGGGGCTGCGGGGAGTAAGAGGCACACAAAGGTGGGGAGTAAGATAATTAATAATATCCCACAGTGTTATCCTATGTTGGTATTTCTTTTCTTATGAAAATTAAATGCTCACTTTATGTTTACCTGTTAACTGATCACTGATAACAGATTTTTACAAGTAAACACGGTAGAACACATAATAATTATATTAAACCACTTGTTTCTTTATCCAGAATACAGTAGACTGGTGGACCTATCAGGTAGAATGGCAGGTAGACAAGTAACAGGATTAAACAGACAATTAACAAAACATTATTGTATATAGAAGCTTTACTTGCTACATACTATCTGCTCAGATATCTCACCAAATTACATCACACCTTCTAGTTGTATGATAGCTTTCCTGGGTCCCACAAAGAGCCAAAATGTCATATATATTCCACTAGTATGTACGGTAAGTAGCATTTATTCTGATTGGTCAGATATAACATTAGCATCCTTCTTTTTGCAAGACAGATATGAATCTTCTCTTCCTCCATTTACTCTAAGCGCAGATTTCCATAATTTGAAGATTTATCTTTTTGAACAGTAAGCAGTAAAGGGTATAGAAAAGTCAGAGCCGGCGCTTCCTATAAGGCAAACTAGGCAGCCGCCTAGGGTGCTATATAGGAGGGGGCGTCCTGCGCCCCCATCGCTGGCCCTTTAAATGCCACAGCCGCCTGAGCGCTCTATAGAGAGCGCTCAGACGGCTGCCGCACTGCCTCACCTCCCCTGCCCTGTAGCGTGGCCGAGCTCCTTTCCGGTACGCGACCCGGCCGGACTGACAGGAAGTGCACACTGAGTGTGCACTTCCTGTCAGTCCCGCCGGGTCGCGGACCGGATAGGAGCTCGGCCACGCTACAGGGGAGGTGAGGAGATGATTATAGAGGAGGGGAGAGAAGATTATTAGGGGGGGAGAAGATTATAGGGGAGGGGGGAAGATG